GTAAACACAGTTGGGCGTATGAAAAGCGTAGTCACAAAAGATCAGATGGTTCAAGTAGAGGTATAGAAATTTTTTCTTTGTAAAAATTATTTTAAATAGTTTTAAGATGTAAAGTAGTATGCATATTAGTATATTAGTATTGTGTAAATAGTATTATGTTATATTATTATTATTATTTTGCTAATAATTTTTTATAGTTCTTTTTCATTTTGACTAATTGTTCATAAAGTATAAATTTAATTACTTTTTTTTTTTTTTTTTAATGTTTATATAATGGGCTAATTAGAGGCTAGTGTAACATCTAGTTTTTAAATAAATTTATAAATGTTCAAGTAAGTTTAAATGGTCTAAAATGAATCTAATGTTAATGCTAGCTTTCAATTATATGACTTTGAACTGTGTTCCAGTTAAACAAAGTGACAAAAAAACAACTAAAAAAAGTAAAAAAAATAATAATAAAAAGAGAAGTATATAACCCGTGAAATTTGTAATGCTGTTTTAAAAGGTTTTTGTTTAGTACTTGTTGTCAAAGTTTATCTGTCAGGGTTATTTACAACCAAAAGCAAACTGTCTTGCAAAGATATAACTCATATTTTTCAAACTATAAATCACAATAATTTTCAGAGGAAATAAAATTAATTATTGGTTCAGTGATTCTATGAAATGAATACTGTTTCAAAAAAAACTTCTATCAATGTTGAACAATTGATGTAAACACTCAAGAATATTTGTGTCTGATAAAAGAAGTGTGAGATCTTTTTAATGTTCTAAAAATAATTTTTCAGCTGAAAACTACATTGATTTGATGAATTTACAGAATACTCCAATCACTGGACCACCACTTCTCGTTAATACTGATTTTACTGTTAGGATTAGTTATTCTGTTATAAAACTATATAAAAATATGTATCTTTTGAGCACAACAAAGTTCAGCTCCTTTTAATTGTTAATTGCCCAAAAATTATTTAACCAGATTTTTCTGAATTTTAAGCTGTTTTTTTTTTTTTTTTTTGCTAGAGCCAAATTTTTAACTAGTTACTATTAGACCTTTTTATTTTAATTTTTAACAATCACTTTTTTTAAGCAGAGTTTATGTACATTATGTTAATTTTTATACTTTTTGTTATTTTTAGATAAAATGTATGTTTTAACAGGATACATATTAATAACGATGATGATGATCATCATCATCATTAATGATGATGATGATGATGATGATCATTATCATCATCATCATCATCATCATCATCATCATCATCATTAATGATGATGATGATGATGATCATCATCATCATTATCATCATCATCATCATCATCATCATCATCATCATCATCATCATCATCATCATCATCATAAGGCATCATCATAAGGTTTTAGCCTTCTTCTATTATGCTTTTTCTCTAATATAAACAATCTAGAGCATTTTTTATCTTAACTCTTATTCATGTAATCTGTAAGGCACTCTGTTCAAGTTTTCTTTTTTCTACCACTACTATTTTCTACTGAAGCTGCTATCTCTCTACATGCTGATACCTAAATAACTTTATTCTTTTCTAACAAACATTGTTTGATACAATGTTTTTTTTAATATGTCTAAGGTTATGCCTCCTTTTCTTGTCTTGCTATAGTCACACCACACAACTATCTGATGATCTTCTCATTTGGCAAATACTACACCATATAAATACCAAAAAAATAGTTTATATAATGTAAGGATTTTGTATGCCAGGATCTAAATAAATAGCAAGCATATATGTTTATATCCATAATATATAAGTGCATCTTGGAAGTTTTTATTCCTTCTGGAATAAAAGTTTGGAATCTTTTATTACTTCTCTTCAATTTTAAGTCAAGCCTTATTCTACTCCATATTTTTCACCATCTTGAGCAGTTGCTTTATTAAACAATCATTTTTTCATTTTTTTTACAACGGACAAATCTTTTTATTATTCCAAGAAGCCAGTGTAAAAAGGTCCTGTCTGATGTTAAGCTCTATTATTCTCAGTTTACTAAATCTTGTATCTTATCTCAGATGTTAGGTTCTAGAGACTTTTGGTTAGTCTTCAACAATGTCATTAACTAAAGTAAGTCTAACATTTAATCTCTAATTCATGGGTCTGATCTTTTTATTTTTCCCCATATAAAGCAGAGTTATTGCCGAGTTATTAATCTTACTATAATTTGACTCTTCAATAAAAGGGCCATACTTTTCCTCATCTATATACTTTTATCTTGACAAAAAATCTTCACTTTTTAATTGCTTAGAACAAGCAGCCGGTTTAAAACCTGATCTCTCTTCTGTAATAGCCCAAGACTTGCAGTGGCTTATGATTTTAAATTCTGGACTTAAAATCCACAATATTTTTTAGACAACAAAACTCATTTATTTACTGCAAAAAAATATTGCAATATTGTTGGCATTCCTATATTGATAAATAACAACCCTCTTACTCTCAGACAAAGTCTCTTACTCTCAGACAAAATCAAAGTTGACTTGTTTCTCCGTTCAGCGGCCTTGTTCGCCAAAGTTCATGTTTCGGAGTTATAAAGTTGAGTGAGGGTTATAACCGCTGTTAAGTAGCCTCCTCATATGTGGCCCTCTCGGCCTTGATTGGGTGAATAAAAAAAAAAGTCTAAAAGCACATTGTAAATGTAATTAGACCTGCTTTATCTCCCAAGCTTGAGCCACTCTCTCATGATTGTAAGGTTGCATTTCTTTCTTTTTCTATAAATACAATCAAAGTCAATGCTTAAACAAGCTATCAACTCTGTTACGATAAACCAAAACTCATTCTTGCTTGGCTTTTTTTCAACAAGTTGCATCCTTTTACTACATTTGTCTCTTCACGCTAAAAAAAGTTTTTTTAATTCAGTTTTTTTTCTTTCACATCAAAAAAACCTTATAACTCTTAGTAAGAGTCTCTTACCCATCTTCATGTTTTCCTTTTTTATACAACTTACAACTTTTTAAGTCTTTTAACTTTTTAACTTATTCTCTATTTTATTGTTTTGAATTACTACTCATAACTTAATAGTGGTTGCTTGCAATTTTGTTAAAAATAAATTAGAGTTCAAAAGTATATAAATGTATGCCAGTATTTAATAAATAGTAAATGTAAGCATAAAATTTCAATATATTGATTATTATAAATTTTTTTCCTAGCCCCGGTTATCAACCTCTGCTAAATCTTAAAATTTTGCTGGGGTCAGGTTTGTAAAAAGTATCTTCTTTAGCCAGGACTGGGGCCCTTCTCACATAATACCTATATCTTAGATTTTGCTGATTTTTAATACTGTTGATTGTACTTAGTAAAACAACAGTTCCTTGAAAATTTTAGCCTCTGGCTCCAAGAAGATCCTGAAATATGACCATTTTAGTTTCAACAGATGTTAGCAGGCCCCTTTTTTCCCTTTATACTTTCAACATTTATTTAGAAGTTTCAAGTCATATAACTTTTAAAATATTTGTACCTTTTACCATAAAATTTGTTATTGGCTAATTTTGGGGGTAATAAATACAATAAAATGAACAGAAAAAAAAATTTATCAATTTAAATATATTTAGCCAATTTTTTATATACTTGGTTTTGATGCTTAAGAAACCTATGTTGCCTTATGCTTTAGCAAAATCTTTGATGTCTTTAGCAAAATTCGGTGATAGCTCTGTTCCAAGGGGCATGATGGGTAATATATATTTTTATGATATCACCTTCTGGTGATATCATAAAAATATATATTACCCATCATAACTGGAGCTCTCAAACTTTTGATATTTCTATAGTACCAATGAAAGTGCTTGTTAAAGTTGTTTTCAGGGTCCAAGACACTGGGGGTTGGTGGGGGTCTCGGTCATAGGCCCACTTTTTATAGCAGAATCTTGTAGTAGATTTTTCAATAATTTCTAGACAAACTGGAGCTCTGAAACTTTCAGCATTTGTCTAGTTCTGATGATTGCGTGTTAAAATTGTTTCCAGGGCAGATGGCCTGAGGAATCCATAAGACCAGGGCTTTGGGGGTCATCCCCCACTTTTTTCAAAAAAATTTTTTTTTTCACATTTTTAAAAATGTAAAGATAACTTTGAAAAGTTGTTATCAAAAAATTTTTTTTTAGTTTATATTTGTTCTATTCGGTTTTTTATCATTCTGTATTCAATGATCTTTCTCAAAATGTTTTAAGAAAGTGCATATTTATAAAAGTTTTGATTTGCAAGTATATGGATTGAAAACAGTCGTTCATCTAAAACAAAGGTTTTAACAAAATTTTACATTGTATAATTTAAAAGTTTTTGAATTGAAAAGAAAACGGACAGAACAACATTGATCTGTCAGACAACGACAATTGAGAATACAAATTGATTTTATCAGAGGCAATAAACAAGTTAACAGCTCATTCCTACATTGCAAAATGTCAAACAAGATATCTAAGGCAACAAAACAAATATATGGCAAAAGACTGCTGTATTGTCTTAATTTAAAGAAAACTACATGTTTGTGATTCAAGATGAAATCTAAAATTACTATTGGTGCTCAAGTCAATGCATGTTACATTCTGTTGCTCTCTATTTATTAAACAAAAATGACCAGCTTAAAGATAAATTGTTTTGCTTTATGTCAAAAGATAATGAGTATGACATTAGTTTTGTGTATGAAGTTCAGACAAATAGTTATTTAAAAGAAAATTATCCTAATATTTATTTTTCAAAAAAAAAGAAAATTATCCTATTCTTTATTTTTCAAATTGTTAGGCTGCAAAGTATAAAAACCACAAAAGGTTTTACAATATCTGTCTCAATACTGATGATTTTGACATTTACTTGGCAATTTTGCTACAAGTCATGGTTACCATGTGATGGTATTAGTGGCACTGTAAAACGTTAACTGCAAATGCAAGTCTGCAAAGCCCCATAAATAACCAGATATTGAATTGTAATAAAATGCTTGACTGCTGTGCAAAAAGTATTAAAGGGATTATTTTATCAAAATTGAAAAAAAAAGTGTCACCACTTTAAAAAAACGTTTGCAGCTTAGTCAAACGATTCCTGGATTTTTTGAGCTACCA